GGGTGATGAAATCTTACCTTTTTGGATGAAGAAATTGGGTGCTCTACTTGAGTATTTCCAAGCTTTGAGTGATGGTTGAAGATTGATTGATAAAAATTAGGCCCTCCCTCTTGAACCCTCTCTCTCTCACTCTAGAAGTATCAGAAAATGAGCTCAAAATAGACCTAAGCGGTGTTTTAACGAAATGGGGGTCGGGTTTTAAATTAAAAAAAATGGTGCCCCGACACAGGTCTGCGGTCGCATATACGACCGCATAATGGTTATGCGGTCCGCAAAGTGACCGCAGAAATGGCCCTCAGGGGCCTAAACTTTTGGCTGATGTATGCGACCAGTATGCGGTCCACATACTTGTTCTGCGGTCGCATAATGCACCACAGAACTCCCTCTGTAGAAACCCGAGAGGAATTATGCGAACGATATGCGGTCCACATATCGATTATGCGGTCGCATAATCGACCGCAAAACTGACCTCAAATTGGCCAAACTTACTGCTTTACTCTGCGGCCCGGCCGCAGAGTGATTATACGGCCGCATAATGGGCCGCAAAAATGCGTTCTTCTGCGAAATATTTTCCTCTCAGTCCGTAGGGTACTGTTCATTCCAAAAAGTCTGAACCGCAACTCGCAAGCTCACCGCGAAGAATTTCTACTATAATAATGCAGGAATCTAACTTGGCACCACGAAACCCTGAGTTTTTGGTTAAATTTTTTTTACGGGTCCTTACATGTGAGAATTGGTGAAATTGATGTGGGTAGAGCCTTGTGTGATTTGAGTGCAAGTATTAATCTGATGCCATTGTCAGTGTTCAAACAATTGGGCTTAGGAGCTCCGAGACCCACTATGGTGATGCTACAGCTCGCTGATAGATCTTATGTTTATCCTGAGGGGGTAATTGAGGACGTTTTGCTGCAGATTGGGAAGTTTATTTTCCCTGTAGATTTTATCATCCTGGACTACGAGGCTGATGAGTTAGTTCCTATCATCTTGGGATGACCTCTCTTGGCCACTGAAGATGCAATTATCAAAGTTCGAGAAGGTAAGATGATCATGAGGGTGGATAATAAAGAAGCAATCTTCAATGTATATCGAGCCATTTAGTTACCTCGTCATTACGAGGATCTGGCCATGATTTCTGTGGTAGAGATAAATGAATGAGTCGTAGAGCCAAGTGCGTTTAAATAATATGCACTAGAAAAGGCATTGATGTTTGAAGAAGAGGTTGAGGAGATGTTGCAAATTCTGGATGCATCTTGTGAATACATCAGAGAAAGATCCCAATTTGAACCTTTGGATAGGCCAATCGGCTCGACCCTAAACCCTCAGTTGATGAGGCCCCAAAACTGGAACTTAAACCCTTACCATCTCATCTTCATTATGCATATTTGGGAAGCTCTAACACTTTACCTGTGGTTGTTTCTTCTCATTTGTCTAACTTGCAGGAAGAAAAGCTCTTAAGGTGCTAAGGGAGCACAAGCATGCCATTGGTTGGACAATGTCTAACATAAAGGGTATCAACCCTGTATTTTGCATGCACAAAATACTCATGGAGGAGGGACACAAACCTAGCATGGAACATCAACGCTGCCTAAATCCAATCATGAAAGAGGTGGTAAGAAAAGAAGTTATTAAGTGTCCTGACACTGGTATAGTGTTTCCTATCTCAGATAGTAAGTGGGTAAGCCCTGTTCAATGTGTACTTAAAAGGAGGGTATGACTGTTGTAGTGAATGAACAAAATGAATTAATCCCAACTAGGATGTGACTGGTTGGCGAATATGCATAGATTATAGGAAGTTGAATAATGCTACACGAAAAGATCACTTTTGTCTCCCCTTCATTGATCAAATACTTGACAGGTTAGCCGTACAGGAATACTATTATTTCCTTGATGGCTATTCGGGGTATAATCAGATTTCTATTGCTCCAGAAGATCTAGAAAAGATCACTTTTACATGCCCTTATGGCACTTATGCAATTAAGAGAATGCCATTCGGGTTGTGTAATGCACTTGTGACTTTTCAAAGGTGTATGATGGCTATTTTCACCGATATGGTAGAACAGTTTGTGGAGTCTTTATGGATGATTTTTCTATGTTTGGTCCTTCTTTTGATGAATTCTCGTCCAATCTTGTTATGCTTGCTAGGTGCGAGGAGACTAATCTGGTACTGAATTGGGAAAAGTGCCATTTTATGGTACGTGAAGGTATAGTGTTGGGGTAGAAGGTGTCCAAAGATGGACTGGAAGTTTACAAGGCTAAGGTGGAAGCAATTGAAAAGTTGCCACCACCGACTTCTGTGAAAGGAGTTAGGAGTTTCCTGGGACATGCAGGTTTTTTATCGCCTATTTAGAAAGGAATTCTCAAAAATTTCCTCTCCCTTGTGCAAGTTGTTAGAGAAGGATGTGCCATTCAAGTTTGACGATGCTTGTCTGAAAGCATTCGAGGAGCTAAAAAAGAAGTTAGTGAGTGCACCAATCATAGTGGCTCCTGACTGGAATGAGCCATTTGAGCTGATGTGTGACGCTAGTGATGGTGCAATTGGGGCCGTATTGGGCCAGAGGAGGAGCAAAATATTTCACTCCCTTTACTACGCAAGCAAGACTCTCACTCCCGCTCAAATAAATTTTACTATGACAGAAAAGGAGTTGCTTGCTGTAGTGTGGGCGTTCGATAAATTTCGGGCCTATTTGGTTGGCACCAAAGTCATCGTCTACGCAGACTATGCAGCCATCAAGTATTTGTTCGAAAAGAACGATGCTAAACCAAGGATAATCCATTGGGTTTTACTCCTGTAGTAATTTGACTTGGAGATCCGAGACCGTAAAGGAACAAAGAATCAAGTGGCTGATCACTTATCCAGGTTAGAAACTCTGAATCATATAGCTGAGGGAGATGTCATTAAGGAAACCTTCCCGGATGAGCAATTATTAGCCGTTACTGCTGGGGAGGTTCCATGGTATGTATATTTTGTAAACTATTTGGCAAGTGGAGAAATGCCGCATGATCTTGAACCTCATGCTAAAAAGAATTTCTTGCGAGATGTGAGATCATATGTGTGGGATGAGCCGTTTCTGTTCAAATATTGTACCGATCAGTTAATGAGAAGATGTGTGCCCGAATCTGAAATAAATGCTATCTTACATGACTGTCATGCATCGCCTTATGGTGGTCATCATACGGGTGACAAAACAGCAGCCAAGGTGTTGCAATCGGGTTTCTATTGGCCTAAGTTGTTTAAAGATGCCCATGAGTTCGTGAGAAGGTGTGATAGGTGCCAGAGAACAGGAACAATTACGAAAAAGCATGAGATGCCATTGCATGGTATTATGGAGGTTGAAATTTTTGATGTGTGGGAAATTGATTTTATGGGTCCGTTTCCCTCGTCCAATGGGTTTAAGTACATTTTGGTGGCCGTTAGACTATGTGTCGAAGTGGGTGGAGGCCATTGCTCTTCCTACCAATGATGCCAAAGTTGTGGTCAACTTTGTGAAAAATCATATCTTTACAAGGTTCGGCACTCTGAGAGTGATGATAAGTGATGGGGGCACCCATTTCTATAACAAGCTATTGGACAATGTCTTAGCGAAATACGGGGTCAAACATAACGTTGTGATAGCTTACCATCCTCAGACTTGTGGACAAGTTGAAGTGTTAAATAGAGAGATAAAGCAGGTTCTGGAGAAGATGGTTAGTGCAAGTAGGAAAGATTGGGCTACAAAGATTGATGATACTCTATGGGAATACCGGACTGCCTACAAAACTTCAATCGGAACCTCTCCTTACAAGCTGGTTTATGGGAAGGCATGCCATTTACCAGTGGAACTTGAGCACAAGGCCTATTGGGCGATAAAGAAGCTGAACTTTGATGCAGAATTAGCGGGTAAAAACGGTTGATGCAATTGAATGAGCTTGATGAGTTTCACTTGCACGCATATGAGAATGCCAAGTTATATAAAGAAAAGACCAAGAGCTGTCATGATAAGCATGTCCCCCATCACGAGTTCGAACCGGTCCAATTGGTTCTCTTGTTCAATTCGAGGTTGAGTCTCTTTCCAGAGAAGCTCAAATCGAGATGGTCGGGCCCGTTTGAGGTAGTGAGAGTCACTACACATGGTGCAATTGAGCTGCACATCGTAGGTGGTGAGAGAACATTCTTAGTGAACGGATAAAGAGTAAAGCACTATTATGGAGGTGACTTTGATCGTCAGAAGTCGAAGGTGTTACTTGCCAATGATTAGACGAGATTCTATGTCGTACCGCGACGTTAAATCAGGTGCTTGTTCGGAGGCAACCTAGCTTTATTGCTTTCTTTTATTTTTATTTTTATTATCTTATTTTTGTAGTGTCTGTTTTTATTTTGTAGGATTATAAGTATAGGAAGCAAAGCCATTGGAAGAGTGCAAAAGCGAGCTAGATGGTGAGAACTAAGTGTGGGGTGCCCACACAAAGGACCATGCCTGAGGAAAGTCTGAGTACTCCATGAGCCGCTATTACTTCGGCCTTTGGCCTTTCAGGGAGTTTCTTGTCCACCCTCGTTATTGTTTTGCTTTATTTGCGTATTGGGGACGCTGCACTCCTTTAAGTGTGGGGTGGGAGAGTTAGTAGTAGTATGTTAGAAAATGTTAACTTCTTATTTTGATTTTAGCTTCTTATTTTTGTTTTCATAGTTGTGTACTGTATTTTAGTAGCTCCTAAGAAAAATCGGAAAAAAGGTAGAAAAATTGGACTTTTCCCAACGATGGATCTCCTAGACAGTTTTCTTGAGGGATTTAAGTCGAAAGAAAAAGGACAAAAAGATTTTCTTTTGTAAGTAGTGTAGTAATTACCCCTTGATTTTTCTTTGTGCCGCGGTTCTTTTCCAAGGGTTTTTTTTGAATCGGGTGTAGTTAGTTTTATTTTTTTACGAGTAGGAACCCTTGTGTTATGATTGGAATTGAAGCAATATCTCTTGACTTTCTTATGCCTTGAGAATAGTGAGTGCTTTATTTGTGATGCTTAGGCTCAGTTGTTTTGACTCTTGTATCAGTACCTTAAATTGTATGATTTTAACTTTGCTTAACTTCTTTGACTAGAGTGTCTAAATGAGTCCAATCCTGAGTGAGTTATGTGCCAGGTGTGTGTGAGAGGTTTTTGTGTATTTTGTGCATTACATTTGATGTCTAGAACTTGCCCCGTGTGTTTGCAAAGCGAATTAGTAGTTTTGGTCAGTCTAGGAAGTGATATAGGTATTTCTTTGTTGAGCCAATTATATACTTTTACCCACCTAATTGTTATGTATCGTAGTTAACCCCTTTGAGCCTGTAATCCTGTTTCTTTGGCAACCACATTACAAGTCTTACCCATTTGTTTAATTTGACCATCTATTTGAACCTTGTACCTCTCGTGAGCACTTGAATTTGTTATGAACTTTGTAAAAGTTAAAGTATGGGGTGTTGGTTTGGCTTTTGAGTGGAATTATTGAAATAAGGAGAAAGGTGCATTGTCTTGAAAAAGTAAGAGCCACTTAAATTAAAAAAGAAAAGATTTTTTTTAGCTGTATTGGTGTGCAAATATTCCTTGATAAGTGGTAACTCTTGATGTAATTGTACTTAAAGAAGTAGGGAGTTGATGTATATTGATGTGAGGTGGAATTTGGTTTGACATAATTGTGGGATTTTTAATGGTAAATGGTATGTATTAAAAGTGCTTAGGGAGGTGTAGTAACTCTTGTATCTAAATGTATCCTACCTATACTGCAACCTACATTACAACCAAATAAAGTCCTACTTGATCCTTGACTGAATGAACTCAATTAGTAGAATAGTACACTACGGGCAAGCCTATGGTGCATCTTTTGTGGCATATGAATGTTGTTTCTGAGAGAGAGAATTCTTTCTATCTTGAGTTCCTGATTGTTCTTAAACTTTATTGTGTAAGGAACTACTCTCTATGCTTGTGTGAGGGTACTTGATTCATGAAGGAAAGGTAATTTCATTAACCTCTGTGTTAGAGTAAGTGAGCGGGTTGTGAAAAATGCATGGTGCTTGTGAGTCAAATCTTGAGGTGAGGATGTTACATTAAAGTGCTTAATCTATTTTAAATATTCTTAGTGTGATGACTTATAAGAGTTGTTTAAAAGGTCGTGTTGTTGTAAAGTGTAGTAAGACTGCTCAAGGACGAGCAATGGTTTAAGTGTGGGGTGGTGATGGTAAGCTATAATCTCGTGTTTTAGTCACTTATTGCACTCTAATTCACTACACTTTAATTGTGTTTGAGCTTTAATTGTTAGTGTTTTGCACTTATTGTATGTTTTATGCCTTGTAAGAGCGATTTCGAGTTATGTAGATGTTGTGGAACTAATTCGAGCTATTTGGAGCTTTGAAGTCTGAGTAAAATCCCAAGAGATTAAGCCGGGATTGTGTTCGAGGGTCGAGGATCAATTCTGGACGTTGAAATTCAAGTAAGAAGCAACTGCTGAAGAAATGCACTAGTGCGACGCATTAGTGTAATTTTATGTTAGAAACTTCCAAAGTTCAGAGACTGGGTTTTTTTGGTTTGAGAGGAAAAGGCACTAGTGCGACGCACGGGGCGACGCACAGTGCAACACACAATTCGACGCATGAAAGGCAATAAGTTTGTAAGTTTTCCAATTTCGGCTAGGAAAGGGAGATTTCGTCTGGGCCCAACCTTACTTGGTATAAATACATGGAAAAACGTTAATTTTTTACTTTTGACACACTTTAGACCTAAGGAGACTATTTTTGAAGGAGAGAAGACGTTGGGAACATTCTTTGGAGGAGAAAATCATTGAGTTCTTCATTCCTTCATCTTTTCTTTGTAATTTGTTTATGCAAAATACTTGGAAAGTTGTTACTACGAACATGAGTGGCTAAGCACTCTAGTTTCTAGGGTTATGGTTGACATGATTATTAACGTTTATTAATTACATCTTTGTTAATTCGGATTATCATCTTATGATTGTTTCTTTAATTCTAGTTTTAACTTGTGAATTATTGTAGCTACCAACTCACCCTACTATCTATGCTATGCTTGGAAAAGCCGTATTTAGATTAGAGTAGAATTAAAGAGAACTTTTTTCTGAACCCGTGGCTCGGGGAACGATTTCACGGTTAGGATAGGAATATGCCTAACAATCTTTCTTAGTTAAAAAACGTATTATATTCGTTCATGATAGACTCAATACCATAGAAATATAGGATTGATATATTATGGACAGGTGAGTAGTATTGTGGGAACATGCTATTCATATAAACGATATGGTCAATTAGCAACCTTTGATAATCTGGATTAACAAGTGTGGTTATTGAACTTAATAGGATTGATAAACCGACCACAACCCTGGAATCTTCATCTCCTCTGAGCAAAATCCAAAACACACATTTGCATCCCTAATAAATTAGCTAATTACTTGTTCAATATTTGCAAAATTAGTTTAGTAGATAAACAATATTTTTGATTATCTTGGACAGTTAATTGATTTTAGTTTGCTTAGTTAACGATTAATCTAAGTCTTTGTGGGTTCGACATCCGACTTTTGAGTCACTTTATTACTTGACGGCCACGTATACTTGCGTATACTTGGGGAACTAACAATTCCACTTGAACTTCACAACCTGGTGCAGGGTAGAAGCAACTACCCCAACTGCGTGTACCCATGGTCGTCCCAACAACAGGTTGTAGGTGGCAGATATGTCTAGCACTTGGAATTCGACATCAAACCAGGTCAGGCCTATCTGTAGATCAAGGTTGATTTCTCTGATAGTGGCTCTCTGAGATCCATCGAACGCTTTCACATTCATGCTTCCCATCCGCATCTCATGCAAGCCTTTATCTAATCTTTTTAGAGTGGTCTGGGGGCATATGTTCAGGCTCGAACCTACATATATCAGGACCCTAGCAATGAACTTGTCTTCAAATTGCATAGTGATATGCAATGCTTTGTTGTGGCTCAACCCTTCTGGCGATAATTCATCTTCGTGGAAAGTAATTTTGTGACTCTCCAGCACCTGTCCGACCATGTTAGCCATATCCCCGCTAGTGATACCGGCGGGCACATAAGCTTCGCTTAACACTTTCATCAAGGCATTCTTGTGCGCATCTGAATTTTGCAACAGTGACAAAATGGATATCTTGGCAGAAGTCTTGTTCAAGTGATCGACAACAGAGTATTCCCTTGCCTGTACCTTCCTCCAAAGATCATCAGTGCTCGTCTCAACAACAAATGGACTAGATACAACTTCTTTGCTTGTTCCTCCAAGATTTTTAAGTGTATAAACTCTGCCAGCTTTAGTCATACCTTGCGTAACACATGTCTCTTCCATCTTGGCTTTTCCTTTTCTTCTTGCCTCAGCAACATAATCCCATGGGACGACATCAGACTTATAAGACGGTGTGGGAGCTACCATCATAGTGAAAGGTGTAGCTATCTCGACTTCAAATGGTGTCTGGGTTTGCACCACAATTGTTGAGAGGGTGACAGGAGATGTTTTAGGAGCATCCCCCTCTCGAATAAGTCCAATGGATCCCTCCTGATCTTATTCCTCATCAGTTTCATTTGCGTTCACTCCCTCGCCCCTATGATCTAGGAGAGGGTAATTACGGACATTCGGAGCGACTTCCTTTACCTGTATAACCTTGGTGTCAATCAGTATCTGAATCTTGTCCTTTAACATGCGAAGTTCTTCAATAGTATGACCCTTCATGACTGAGTGATAGGCACAAGTTTTGTTGGGGTTAACCTACTGGGAAGGGTTCTTAACAACAACATCAGGAATAAGGGTGACATAACCAGCTACCTTTAGTCTCTCATACAGTTGGGCTATGGGTTCAGCGATTGGGGTGTATTGTCTGGGAGCCCTGCAGTCAAAGTTTGATTGTGTCTTTGAGTGATTTTGGGGGGCGGAGGTGAACGGCAATATGCAGGTTGGGTATTATATGTATGGTAGGTGGTGGCAGGGTATTGGTATTTTGAAGGTGAGAGTTGATATGTGGGTGGAGGTGTTTGGTATGTAAGGGAAGACTTAGGGCCCTGAGCTACCATCATGACACCCACTTCCTTCTTCTTCGAAATGCCCCCTGATTGCAAGGCTTGTTTGTGGCTTGCAGTGCCTCAAAATTAGTCACTATCCCGCTTTTGATTCCTTCTTCTATCCTTTCTCCTAACTTGATGACGTCTGATAACTTGTGATTCTCGATAACCATCAACCTTTCATAGTACTGAGGATCTTGTGCTCTAATAAAGTACTTGTTCATTTGTTCTTCTTCAAGTGGCAGCCTCACCTTGGCGGCCTCTGATCTCCAATGAGTATCATACTCACGGAAGGTTTCTGTTGGCTCCTTCTTGAGGTTTTGAATATAGAAAACGTCTGGCGCGTTCTCTGTATTGAACCTGGATCTGTCCATGAAATTTGATGCCATGCTCATCCAATTCTCCCACTTCTTCGGATTCTGACTAATATACCAAGATAAGGCATCTCTTGTAAAACTTTGCATTAACAGTTTCATGCAGATTTGTTCATTATTACCCACTCCTACAAGCTTGTCACAGTAGGTTCTCAGATGCACGTTTGGATCTCTAGTGCCATCAAACATCTCAAACTTGGGAGGTTTGTAACCCTCCGGTAGTTCTACATCTGGCTGGATACACAAATCTTCGTAGTTTAAACCTTCAACACCCTTACCACCTTGAACACTCTAGACTCTCCCTGTTTGTTTCTTGAGTTCTTTTGCCATGTTTCGAATGAGCAGGTCCTTCTCGGTCAACTCAGGTATGTATAGGATTTCTTGCGCGGTATGGGGTAAGGTTTCTACGTATATCGGGTTACCTTGATGAGTTATTGGAACTTGGGTATATGGGTGATCATTGATTGAGGTTTGAGCGGGATCTGGGGTAGGTTGTGGTGAGTTTTGAGGAGTGAGATAAATGGTGGTTTACGGATATTGGGTCGGGTGATGGTGTTGTTGTTGAGGGGTTTGCATTGGTGGTGGGTTAAGGTTTTGGGGAGGTGCGGGATGGTGATACTAGTGCGGTGAGTGAGGATTCGGAGCTATGGGTGGTGGATTTTGGTTTTGTGTGTTTTGTGGTGGTGTTTGGTTCTGAGTAGTTGTGTTTTACTGGTTGATGTCAGGAACGTTTAGGGTAAGGGAAATGTTTTCCAGATTTTGGACATGCTCAAGCTCACCCTGCAGCTCTAGAATTTTCTGCTCTGAACGTAAGACCAACTCATTCTGTCATGGCGTACTTCTCCCCGTTTGAGGTTCTACATTCTCTACTATGGTAGCATTGTCTTTTCGAATACTACTTAAATCATCCATCTTCCCTTTGCCTTTACTTTTCGAGTCGCTAGGTGGAGGACCTCTGGATCTGGTGTGGTATGCTGATGATGCCAGAATGCATGAACCAACCTTTGGGAATGAGAATAATCAAAAGAAAGAAAAAGACAAAGGTAACTAAGTCAGTAAGATAAAGTAAAAGAGTGTTTGCAATATTTAAGCATGTATCACATAAGGTCATGCAATAATTCACGTCCTAATTTTGGGAACCTCCTTGTTCCTGAGGCAGGCCCAAGCGACACATAGACTTGGAGAAAATTTATGCCAACGTTTGCCTCATTTCATTAGTGTGAAAATAAGCCAAATCAATCTTTCACTATATCAACAATAATAATAAAGTCACTAATGGCATTAAGCCTTATTACATCGAAATCTAATCTAATCTAGAAAGCAGTAAAGGACATTGTCTCCTAATCTACTTGGTACCTGAAAGACCTTCTCCATGCTTGGTTCTCTTGACCCCATCGATCACATTCCCTAGATCGCGCATGTCCAGTAGCAAGTAAGCCTTTGCCAGCTTCCCTCCTTCATCATCGTTAATGCCCAGACAATCCCAAAGCCTCTTTCTCATCTTCCCTTCTAGTTCTTTCAATCCTTGCTCTAGATATTCTAACCTCTCTGTCGACTTATTGGCAATCTCCTTCCATTCTCTTAACGCCACCATGTTCACTTTATGTTGTTCTATATGTTTATATTTTGATTTGAATACCCTTTTGCGTAGCCTCTTATACTCCACCTGTGCCTCAACCACCTTGTCTATTATCCTATCTTTCAGATTGACCCCCTGTTTGACGTCCCCGACTATGTTGTCTTCCAACCATGAGAGATAGTAGTACATATGACCGGCGTGATACCTATCTGGTTCAATAATCTCTCCTTCTACGATGATCTTTTGGTTCCACATGTGTTGCTCTTCGAACTTGAATGGGATAACATCCCCTTAGAAATCCGCCTTATATTGAACCATGTTGGAAACCCGAGGTATGACTTGTTTCCTTCCAGCTTGCCTCATTACCCTTATTGGAGCATAAGGGTAGATGCCTCGTAGCCTAATCAGTAATAAGTGAGTAGTTCCTTTAGATCTGATAATGAACTCACTACTAGGAAACCATTCAAACATCCAATGCGCTTGGTGCCTACAACATTTCCAGGCTTTGGAAACCTATCTGGAATGAATGCTATTTTCTTTGAATGATGATTGGCTATGTAGTCATTCAGTGGACTTCATAGAAGCTCTTGGCGATAATCACCCCTCTGAAAGTGTTCCAAAAGCCAAACTTGTAGTAAGAGATTACAACCCTTAAAGTGTCCAGACCCATACTTGCATCGATCTCGAGTACGGTACATATCATCTAATATCATCGGGATGATAGTGTACTTTATCCTCTCGATACCCTCCATTAAGGTCCTGGCTACCATGGCTAAGCGAGTATGAATTCTTCCCCCTTGCATCGAAAAGATCAACAAACCCAAGAAACAGACTATGAAAACATAAACCCGATGGTGCACCCATCCCAAAGAGGTAATGGCTAGCTCCTCATGATAAAGGCGATATGATTCGCTATGCCCATAATGCTCATAGAGAAATTCAAAGGGTATGTGTGATTTCTTCAGACAGACCAGTTCATCATTCTTCTTAAAACCCAAAATTTTCAGAAAAATGCGTGGAGTGTGATTTTCTGGCAGCAATAGTCCTGGACTATCCCATGGTAACTTGGCGAAACTC